TAAGCTATAAGAGGGCTACAAGTTTTAAATCATCCACCGTATTCACCAGACCTTACCCCGACGGATTTCTACTTTTTCCAAAGTTCAAATAACTTCTTGCCAGCGAAAAAATGAAGTACCCGACAGCCAGTACAAAATGCCTCTGAAGAATTTGTTGGCTCCCGTACACGTGACTTCTTCACGGTGAGTATTGGAAAATTACCACTTCACTGGCATTTATATAATAGGTGAATATTTTGATTGAAAGAAATAAAAACATTAATAAAAATTGGTTTAACTTTCTGTATACTGAATGACAATTTTGTAAGACCGAATGGTCCCCACGAATATCTTCACAACATCACCCCGCTATACGCCAAACCTCGTAAGCTAAGGGAGCTCCTAAGACCCCGATTATCGTGCCGAAATAAATGATCCTCGACGGTTGTGTGGTCGGAGAGGGCATATGTGTGCTCCCCACAGAACGGAATTTCATCCTGTCCTAAATATAAAAATTAATCAACCTGATCACATTGCTAGAATTTTTTAATTTTTTTTATGTTGTTATTTTTCCTGATTTTTACCTGATGCTAAGTGGTTACCGGAGCCCATAGACATCTATGTAAATGCCGACACCCACTTTCAGACATGAGTTGTAAGGTCTCACTTTTAACAGTACAATTTTGACGATATATTGTTTCCTGATTGTTGCTCATGAATATTAATAATTAAGCATTCCAGTAATTTCCCTATGAATAGTCAATGCCCATCATATACACGAGCACACATAACTCTAATTTGCATGAAGTCTGAATGCCTAGTATCAGCGTATATAAATGGCATTGCATACAGGAAACGCACTCGTAATCCATAAACTCGGTGTAAGCACGCTCTTTGATTTTTAACAAAGATGCAGCTACAATTATATAGTGTTGAAGTTCTAAACGTGAATTTTACACATAGCATATAATGTACAATACATTTTTATTTAAAGTGTATTGTATTATTTAAAGTGTCTGGTAAAAGGAAGAGAGGCCGCCCCAGAACAACTTGGCGTCGCTCGGTGGAGCAGGAGCTAGGGGTCTTGGGCATGACGTGGGAGGAGCTAGAACAGACTGCCCAAGACCGATACAAATGGAAAAATTTGATTCGAGCCCTACACCCCAGCAGAGGGTAATAGGAAAGCATGATGATGACATTTTTATTTGGATAGTAATGACCGTATGACCCTAGAATAAATACCACCAACAAATACGCTAAATCAAACATTAAGCTTATTATTATGAAATATAATTGTATTTGGTCTTTTTTACTTTTTTACCGGGTTGCACCACGCTACCACCCACCTGCTCCATTAAAATCCATCTAGCCGTTTCAGAGCCTGATATGATTCCGAGTATGGAAAATAAAGAGACTGGTAAAATAATTTAATTTTATTTATTTCTTGGACTTTGATGCCGACAATTTATTTTTATTTTTAAAAATTAACTAATTTCGTTTTCCTTCCTATTATTAACAGCATTTTCAATTTGATCAATTGTGGGTGTTTTGTGCAATTAAATTGAAACATGACCCGACTTGATTTGCGGCAATTCATCACACGAATGTCCTCTACAAATGATGCTTCAACAAATAGAGCTGATGATTGATAGCGTTCATTAATGGAACAGTCTAGAATTTACAGTATAACGTAGAACGTTTCATTGAACAAAAGATTAACAATAGTAATAACTACACAACTTAAACTAGGGTAATTACCGAAACATAACATTAAACTTAAAATTATCAAATTGGTAAATTAAAATTTATTAAATTATATAAAAAAAAAGTAAGTCGTACATACATATCAAAATCAAAATAAAATCACTTCACACTCTACGTACATAAAATCCTCTCGCCGCGGATTAGGCGTGGCGATGTGATCTCCGCTCCAGAGGGGAGCCGCGTCCCAACACGGCGGAAGTTCGAGCGTGGAGGCTCCAATATCAGTGGGCCGTGTTCGAGGAGTGGTTTCGCTGCCTGTCGGACCCCGCCAAAGGGCGACGGGCTGTCAAAATAATCCGCCCGGTCCTCTCGAACTGGGTTCGCAACTTAGGATGTCTCACATTCCGGGTGACGCAAGTATTCACAAGACACGGCTGCTTTGGCCGCTACCTGTGCCTCGTCGTCTGGAGTGAGCCGACAGCAGAGTGCCACCGCTGCAGTAGCTGTAAAGAGGACGGCAGAGTACACGCTCGCTTTCGCGGAGCAGTGCTGCATCCTCATGGCGAAGTTAGGACCGGACCGACCGGACCGGTTACCGGTCCAGCCGTGGTACACCAGCGGCACTGCCCGGGTGGCCTGATGGGCCACCGTACCGCGGAAGCCAGCGTCGTTGGTCGGCTCGACGACTCGTCGGCCTATTGCCTATAACTCGATGGGTCCTATAAGTTTCATGCTTTCCTCAGTGGTGGAACAAAGAATAAACACGCAACTTCGGAAGAATCTTGAGGATCGCCAACTGATCAATGACCGACAGAACGGTTCTTTATGGTCGCTCAGCTAGCTTCTTGTATAGGTACTTTACTCACAGGTGGGTTGAAGCCTTGCAGAGCAAGGGCGAGGTTCTCGCTGAAAGCCTTGATATCATGAAGGCTTTCGACAGGTTCTGTCATAGGGTTCTTCTGTGGAAGTTACCATCTTACGGAATCCCCGAGAGACTGCAAGTGGGTCGCTAGCTTTTTGGATAAGCGGAGCATCACTGTCATAGTAGAGGTAGAGGATTATTGCTCCGATACCATGACCGTTAACACTGGCGTTCCACAAGGCTCGGTGCTCTCCCCCACACTTTTCATCCTGTATATCAATGATATGCTTGCTATCTATTGATGGCATGCATTGTATGCGGATGACAGCACGGGGGATGTGTAATATATCGGTCATCAATCTTTTTCGGAGCCTGGTGCAGGAGAGACAATCTGCATTTGTCTGGATAAAGATTTTTGCTTTTTAAAGCACAAGTCCGGCCTCGCGTGGTGTACTGCTCCCACCTCTGGGCTGGCCTCCCAAATATCAGCTACTTTCATTTGACTCCATATAGAAGAGAGCGATTCGGATTATCGATAATGCCATTCTCCCTCTGTATTTTGTATCGTATTTTCCATGGGGAGTGCTCTGAGGAATTGTTTGAGATAATACTGTCATCTATAATAGTTTTTACCATCGTAACACTCGCCACCAGAGTACAGTTCGTCCATACTACCTGGAGCTACTGCGGTTATCCACAGTGCGTTTCCAGAGATCTTTTTTGCCACTTACGATCCGGCTTTGAAGTGAGCTCCCCTCCACGGTGTTTCCCAAGCGCTATGACATATCTTTCTTCAAACGAGGCTTGTGGAGAGTAGTAAATAGTAGGCAGTAGCTTGACTCTGCCCCTGGCATTTCTGACGTCTATGAGCGACGGTAACCACTCACTATTAGGTGGGCCGTACGCTCGTCTACCTACACGGGCAATAAAAAATTATAATAAAACTGACACCTAAAAAAGTCATAGTCACTGTTTGGTAGTATGGTGCCAGTATAATTAATCGCAGCTTCTTACCAAATAGCACCAGCATTACTGCGAATGTGGACTGTGATGAACTAGGCACAATGATGGAGAAGCTCCCGAATCTCTGGCCAGCCTTGGTTAACCCCTTGTCCTTGCTGCGATAACGATCGACCTCATACGGCACACCAGACGGTCTCTAAGCTACAAGAGTTAGAATTGTAAGTTTTGCGTTATCCACCATACTCACCACACCTAACAGCAACAGACAGCTTTTCCAAAGTTGGGACAACTTTTTGGCAACATTTTTTTTAAAATGCCTTTGAAGAGTTTTTTAGTTCCCGTACACTTGACTTCTTCAAGTAGGGCATTGAAACATTACCACGGCGCCGCGCTGGCAGAGATGTATCGATACTATGGGTGCATATTTTGATCGACAGAAACAAAAAAAACCATAAATAAAAATTATGTAACTTTCTGTACAGGTACTAAAAGGCTCATTGTCAGCTGTCTCTCCATAAACTTTCTCGTCAACAACTTCGACTTCACATAAAGCCCATTCTAAATAATCCTGGTATATGAAAATGTTGAAACTGTAAGCTTAAATCTATAAAACAATAGCTTTAATATTGTTAAACCCACTATTGTGAGTATGCTCTAGCCTTAAATTACTTAGAAAAATTCTAGCTATTTATTAGTTTTAGATATTAATTAATACTAGAGGTCCCGCAGTAGTCGAAATTCGACTATAATTAATTGGAATTGTAAGTTTGTACACTATTATAATTGTATTTTATACTTCTATAATTACAAATTTCGCCAAGACTACACTATAAAAAATATGAACAAAGACAAACAATATTTAAGCTATTATCAATTTGACAACAGACGTCAAGAACAAAAGTTTAACAATAAATAGTATGCATGCGTGTGTGCGTCAAATACATGGTATGTAGTGTGTGTAATGTTTTCTTTATTGATTTAATGTATCTTTTATGCATTGTTTTCAAAAAATATTAGCATTGTGCACTTCTTCTCTATATTCTCTATAAGTGTTTAAAATTTCATACTCCTCCGTCTGCGCAATTTTCGTAAAAAGGGATAAGTGCAAAGTTTTTGCTTCACGTATTATTATATAGATTTGTCCAGTATCGCGTTACTCCAGAAATAAATAATTATACATCGTTTTGAATATGGATGAGGAAATTTTTGTTTTTCATTATTTATTGCCGTAAAGCCAATCGGGCTGAAAGTTAAAGGTAATGCTTACTTAAGGTAGAGGTATTTCATTCATAATCAAGTATTTGGTATAAAATTAAAAATAGCTAAAGTTAAGAAACTATGATTTGACCATCTCTTTTACAACACAGTTGAAATCGAAAGCTAAAAAGAGTTAAGCAAAACAAGCAGTAGGTATCCAATTAATATCACATGACTATAGCCAATTCATTTGACGTTTGACAACTTTTCTTTGACATTTTGCACTCTCCCAGAACGAAACTGTCAGTCGAACTGTTCCAAATGTTCCATTATTATTTTATTTATGTCAAAATAAAAAAGTGATTTTAATTTGTGAAATCTATAAATTATTAAATTGCAGTACAAAGAGCAGGGTAACTGATTCAGCGAACGCTGAATCTGAAACATACTTCTGTAGATTTTCTTATTAGTGTTAGTTCAAATGTGCAAATGAACAGCGCAAAATAATGGGTTGCCTTTCGTGGATTCGAGGTATGACGTTTTTTGCAGATTTTCCTTAATTGTTCGATATTGTTTAGTACTACCGACTTATTATATGTTCTAATACTGTAGTTTAAATAGTGAAAATTAGTACAGACGTCATTTATATTGTATTTAATATTCTTTTGAAAATACTTAGGTAATATAACCGATGATAATACAACACCGTAAGTGTGAATTATAACCATGACTGCCTGCTGTATTCAAAACTTTTGTATAAAGCGTTTAAATCCTATGTATATATATATATATATATATACGTTTGTTAGAACAAAAGTTAATGGGTATGATTTGTACCAAGACCTCCTGCAATCACTATTTTTAGACGAAAACAAATGTTTGAAATGAATCTAGTAATTAGCAGTTTCTTTACTAAAGTATGCAAATTGTTCATGTTGAGGAAGTAAAAGTGACTTTGATGTAGATACTAATATTTAGGCAAGGTTTGTTTTATCAGATTAATATGTATATATGGATCTTAAAAATTTTTAAACTAAATAATTCATGCATGAGAATAGTAAATAAAAATATTAATATTGATTCACTAAGTTTCAGATTCTCAATTCTTTTAAAACATTATATTTACACTATAACAATTGTTTGAAAGCTGTAATTTTTATAACAATAAAGAATCCACCAGACTCTTAAAAATGTATATATATAATATAATATTTCCTCATCCATTAGGTACTGCCAATATAATTTAACTATCATTGTTATAATAATTTTGTTGGTGCTCATTTTTGTTTTGCAAAGCTTTGAACAACACTGAACTTTCTACTATGCTACTATACTTCTTTTTTACTAATGTCATAACTTTCTTCTTTTCAGAATTTAAAATGCCCTTTTCTTTTAAGGACAAAGAGTTAAATAAAATTGCAGCATTCTTCAACATCACTTCTTTTCTGCTAACCTGTGCAGCTTTAGTACAACCCAGCTGGTTCCGTATTAGAGGACTTCATTGTACACAGAGTTTGGCATTAACTCAGTTTTTTTCATTTGATGGTGATGACGACTTAGGTGAAGATGATCAGATAAATATACATCAAGATAGCATTTTTAACCAAAAAATTGAGTTTGATAAAAGTAAGTGAAGTATAGTAGTTTCTTTGGTTTTCGTTAGAGGTAAACATAATTAAAAGTACTTTACAGTTTATTCTTTTTTATTATTATTTTTTTATTTTTGTTATTGCCCTTGTAGGCAGACAAGCATACGCCCCACCTGATGGTAAGTAGTAACCGTCGCCCATGGACTTCAGCAATGCTAGGCTGCCCCTGGCATTGCCAAACCAAACTGCTGCCTACCGTAGATATAATTATATTTATAAATACGCCACCCACCTTGAGATATAAGTTCTAAGGTCTCACGTATAGTTACAACAGACTGCCCCACCCTTCAAACCGCAACGCATTACTGCTTCACGGCAGAAATAGGCAGGGTGGTGGTACCCACCCGCGCGGATTCACAAGTGGTCGTACCACCAGTAATTACGCAAATTATAATTTTGCGGGTTTCATTTTTATTACACGATGTTATTCCTTCACCGTGGAAATCAATCGTGAACATTTGTTAAGTACCTAATACATTAGAAAAATTGGTACCCGCCTGAGATTCGAACCCCGGTGCATGAATGCACCGGACGTCTTATCTGTTAGGCCACGACGACTTATAAATTATAATTATTATATTATAAATATAAATTATAATTATTATATTATAATTACCTATATTATTTCCATATTCAGTTATTTGTTAGCACAAAAACTGTAAGGTATTTGAAATATTCTAAAGGTAATAACATTGTGTCAGTAAATCAAGTAGTTAAAAATATAAACATGTAAATTATTTGATCATTTATTTCAAATAATGGATCAAATAAATAATTGAGTTAATCAAATAAATGAGTTAAGGGTTATCAGTGATATCCATGGTGTCTGATTACTACAAGTGAACTGTGAGCTTGTCTTCTCATGAAATGCAATAAAGAAACAGTGTTAACTTTTTATATCAAACTAGATAAATAACTGTTGCACAGAAAAATAATGGCAACAACAATTTTTCAGGTCTCCCTCCATGTAAAACTGCAGCAACTATAACACTTATGCGAGTACTTATTTTACTGTGTTTCATGGTGCTACTGTGTTCATGTATTGGTGCAATCATCAATATTACAAGCTTTAATAGTAAAGCTATAAAATTGTTGAGAAGAAACGCCATTCCAAGCATACTGTGTGTATTCTGGGTGATAGCCATTGTCGGTGTTTGTTATTATACAACTGTTCTGCTGGGAAATACAAATAACAGTGATCCGAACATGATACAAGTCGATTATGAATATGGATTTTATACTATTACTGCAGCAGGTATGCAAGAAGTTTCTTAATACCATTTTGAATGCAATTTTTTCACAATTCTATATTAGTAAGTTTAAATAGTTTGGTTTCAAACTGAAAAAAAAGTTCTTAGAAACTATTTATATATACTAAGAGAGCAAGTTTTTTAAATTCTTAGAAACAGTATTGTAAAAATATTGTTTTATAAAATTACAGGTGCTATGGCCTTATTAGCTTCAGCAGCTAATTTATGGGGTGCACCTTTATCTAGTGATGAAGATATCCAAAGACGGAATTTAATGGAAGACTGGGATGGATATGAAGCTCACAGTGTTGGCCCCACTCCTGCTGTACCAACCTTACCTCCTTATACTCCAAGTCCAGACTACGTACACATATTGTCAACTGCATATGCACCTCCAGTACTGGGAAGTCAACAATATTTTCCATTCGATGATCTCTCTGTACTTCCTCCTCCACCACCTTACACACCATAAACGTTAATGTAATTGTGATAAATCACTAGTTACAGATAAATGTTTGTTCGTTCAACATACTAAATGTATATTTAGATTATTTTGTCTTTCTTTTAATATGTTTAATTTTATTTTCTTCATTTGAATAGATAGTTGAATCTCATTTAAAGTATCGTTATCGCTGCAGTCAAATAATGCAGTGNTCCTCCTCCACCACCTTACACACCATAAACGTTAATGTAATTGTGATAAATCACTAGTTACAGATAAATGTTTGTTCGTTCAACATACTAAATGTATATTTAGATTATTTTGTCTTTCTTTTAATATGTTTAATTTTATTTTCTTCATTTGAATAGATAGTTGAATCTCATTTAAAGTATCGTTATCGCTGCAGTCAAAGAATGCAGTGTTCTCTTAAATCCTTGTCTAATTTAAATACTGGACCTAGCAGTCTCAGTATGACTTATTGGCTTTTGCATGAAAAAAAAATCAAACATGCATCTTCCCACCACAAAAAGGGAAGATCTAATGTCTGGGCTTTACAAATGGGCGTTTGAAGCCAAATCAACCCCGACTGACTAAAAATGGCTGTGTCCCTTCCCTATACCTTTCGGGGAGTCCAAGCTGATACTATAAAATATCTTGTGTTAAGATTAACACTGAAGAAACAGCCTTCAATGGCTAGACCCGCCGAAAAACCAAGCATAAGACGAACTGCTTCCTCTATAGATAGCAGGTGCTTCCCTACTGATGATAGCAGCCCCCGTTAAAACAAGTCTTACAGCTGTAGTGGTATATGTCTGGCAGATCACAAAGCAGTGCGGTGCTAAAGTATGCTTCACTCCGCTAGAAATCGATCACATTCCGAAGCCCTGCTCGATAGCACCATATAAGACCGGCGCATTAATGTCTACTTTACAAAATTAAAAGACTCTTGAAGGTTGCACTTGCTCTATTTTTACCCAGACAGCACAAGTTTATTGAGCTCTCTCGGCACAATGAGACAGACCAGTGTGAGTCACAACGGTTTTAATAAGCCCAAACTCAAAATTAGATATAATAATTAAATAATGAAATTCTAAATATATTTGTAAATTTGTTTATTTATAGTTAACAAAATGTAATCATTTTCAATATTTTCACTTTCGGTTTATTGAAATCTAATGAGTTGAAATATCGTTAAAACTATCAAGATTTTATTCTATTTGTATATTGTGGTTGTGAGATGATTAAAAATATCGGTTCACATAAGTATGTGTGTGATTTGCCATTTTAGTGCCTAATGTTATTGTTTTTCTCTAAAAGTAAAACATCTTAATCTTAGCTTACTTAGAAATTATTAATACACTCTTTGTTTTCTAATCGATTAGCATGCTTAATTCAAGCAATATTTCTTTATATGTAATGGCATTATTTGTGTGAATGATTAATATAAATCAGTACAATTAGGTATATGATTTAACCTTGCGTTTATTATTTTCATTTTATAATTTTTGAGTTTTCTAATCTTCCACGAGATTCGTGATCACAAAAATCATGAAATGAAAGTAATAAACTCTAGATTGAAACTTAAAAGTACCTAAGTTTTAATTATTTCTACAAATTTGCGAAATACCATAAATTGTTCTTCATTGAAGTTGGCTAATAAAGTAATTGTCTTTATTAGACAGCTGCATCACTTTAGTGATTAGGAATACTATAGTAGAATTATTTTGTCCGTGCAGTTTGGGTCATAAAAAATCGGAGCGGTAAAGCGAGTATTCCGCTCTCTTCCACTCACGAGCCAAGGGCGGATTCAGCTTTGGCGCCAGGAGGGGGTCACATAGTCAAATTTTCGATGCGCTCGTTCCCAAACGCTTGCCATCATACAAAGTTATTATATTATATTAAGTTAATTAAATATTGAAGGTATGTAGTTATATAAAATCTGTATAGTGACAAAATATATAAATAAATCATTATGTTCAATTAGTGGTTCACCCAAGTCTTGGAACCACCTCAGGGGGGGGGTCATGACCCCATGACCCCCCCCCCCCTGGATCCGCCGTTGTCACGAGCCTTATGGACGGGCATAGTAATGCGTTGTCGATAAGCGTTATCGATAGTGTATTTAGTTTTGTCATTTTGTGGGTTAGTGATAAAAATGAAAGAAAAAATCACTAATCGAACACTTACACAACTTATCGCCGCAGCAAGTTAACGAGAACGGCAGAAATTAACACTTTGTAACTTTTCGGGATCTATTCTTATTTCAGTGAAAATTTTTAACACATTGTTGATAACAACACGTGCAATTATTATTTTGAATAAATTCTGCCGTTTTGATACAAAACAAGGGAGTAGCCATTGTGTCACTAAAGAAATTCAGAGAACGAATGCATAAAATCACATTTCTCTTCGACATAATGTATAGTAACCGGCAAACATCGTGAGCAAATGACCTTGACTGCGCAGAACCGAATTTTAGATCACTTTGGTGGTGAGGGTGAGGCGCGACGGCAGGGGAAATCGTATCGAGCGCGTTATTGGTAGATCAGTCGAACCTTGCGTCCCGCACCGCGCCTTCGTTCCGCTTGCTCCCAAAAGTACGCTTGCGTACAGTGAAAAGTCTATCGTTATTAATCGTTAAGTTATTTGTTATAATTGCTTGTGGACTTTGTTGCCATTGCTATTTGTTGAGTGTTTGTTGATTTTTTATAAAACATACACTATGCCGTGACAAACTGGTGTAGTACTTAAAAGAAAGGGTAGAAAATTTGTGTACGACGTATATTGCTTCATTATAAAACAGGGGAAGAATGATATGGAAAAATTAAAACAGACTTCGGAAGCAACAAAAACATCAGTGAGTACTGTTAGGTGCATTATTAACGAAGCTAAAGGCTCTGGCTTGCTCGCCGTGTTTCGGACTCCGGGTAAGAAAAGATCAGGGAAGAAGAAAGTTACCGGAATGGATAGTTTCGTTCAATCTGTAATAAAAAGATGTAATCATAATAACTACATAACAAGCAGCGAAACTCCGTACCGTAGAAAGGCTTCGAAAATTTTAAAGAAGATATACATTTTAATGGCTCGGAATGAAGTTTACGACGAATTATGAAAGAGCTAGGCTTCAGATGGAAAAAAAAACAGAAAATAATCGGAAGCTGGTAATTGAAAAAAGTAACATTCGATTACTACGAATCGAATATCTTCAAAAAATAATTAATTATAGACAAAAAAGAAGATCGAACCGACCGAGTCGTAAACTACACCGATGAGCCCTATGTCGACTTATCACGATGATGGCGACTCGGGTGATGAAAACAGTGATGATGATAATGGTCAAGATTATGATAACGAAAAAAAAATTACAAATACCAGCTTCGCTTCAACTGAACGAAGACCTGGCAACAGCTCTAGTTTTGACTTAATAGAAGGAATATCTATTTTACCCCAAGATTAAATTATTACAATTATTAACCTATATTTTTTGTTGATGTTCTAATAAATATATAAATAAATACATATGTTGATTTTAATAATTTAATTGCATTATGACGCAGAGTAAATAATGTTTTTGCACGTGAGTGTACCATGCGCAAACTTACCCCCACTACGTCAACAAATGCTCAAGAAGTTTGCCGGCTATTATACTATCATTTGCAGGTAAGTACAAATGACTCATAACATAACAATGTCTCACCGCCCTTCGTATACCACCCCGTCGCCGTGTACCTGCCTTCGATGACTCATTTGTTTTTATCGATAATGACGTTGCCCGCGCAACATGCTCACCACCCTAGCCGGGCTATGTTTTATGACCCAAACTGCACGGACAAAATAATTCTAGTATAGTTAACATACTTTATATTGTAGGCATAACAGCAAAAACAGTTTTTATAAGGAAACTATCAAAAAATATAAAAAATCACGAGAATTCTAAAGTTAATAAAATAAATCGCGTGATTAAACTGTAAAACTGATTCTTAATCGTATCTACGACTTGTGAAACCTAAGAATGTACTATAATATTATTTTGGTTTATTGTTTTTTTCTTTATCTTAATTTACTTGATATTCAAATGTGTTAATTGTATTATATATACAATTTTTATCATTTAAAAAATAGCTATGAAATTAAAATATAACATTATTTTGAAAATATTATTGGAAAATGAAATAGCTAGTTTCCAAGTTTTATTACTATACAGCGTGAGCATGACGGTATCGCCTTAAACGAAAAAGCGGCTTTTACTAGTCCATAAGAACTATAAAATAATTAGATCTTTAACTTTACCTAAAACAAATTATTTTTTCTAAAATTGGTAACCATAATTGAAGTAAATCACACGAGCCTTTGACTCCAAACCAGGATTCCCTGTATTGTAAAAATTTTAAACTGATATACACACGACTACGTACCTTAAACTTATCACATTTAGAGAAACGCAAAAAATGGATTTAAAATGTCAATGTAGATTATTAATTTGAATTTTACTTAATATTTCTAATATTATTTTAAATAACAAACAAGCGATCAAAAAGAAATATACTTAATCAAACTGAAAAAATAATTTACAGAAAAGAAACTTTTTCGTATCTACTTACCATTTTATTAGTTTTTTAAATACCTAGTGATACCGTTCTAGCTCCTCGAACTGCTTCCATTCTTGTCATATCTTAGATTCATAGTAATTAAATGAATCCTTAAATTGCGCTTCACAGCTGGTAGTTTTGCCTTTCTTATTTTATCTTCCAAATATATTTTTTGCGTTTCTCTACTTTTTTCTTGGATGTATATATTAATTAAAACACGCAGAAAACTAAAGTAAACAATAAGAATAAATGGTACAGAATATAAGAATAAAAGAATAAAGTAGGTAGTAAAATTATTTTACTATATACTTAAACGAAAGTCGAAAAACAACCATTTAAATGCTTAAAAGTATTCCTATAGTGGTTTTCGTATTTGAAGAAATAGGTCTCAATCTTGACATTAAATCGACTCTGTTAAATATATGTTAATGATTATTTGGGCCAAACTCTGAAACAACACCACATACTTGTTCGATTTGTGGCGATATCGTCATTCACCCTAAAATTCTATACTTGTATAGATTGTTTCTATTTACATTTATTAATAATCATATTCATCACATCGTCATAAGAGGAGCTTTTAGAGTTAATAAATGTAGATTCACAATAATTAATCGAATAAAATGTAGGTACCTAACGTTATTGGAGTCCTGTTGTTAGAAGGTAGCATCCATATATAAACCGTGTTACCAAAAATATGAGAAGGTTATTAGTTTTATTGTTTGTTATGTACAGAAACTCTTCATAGTGTAAGCATAGCTATTCCCAGTACCTATATTTGACTGGGAATTTTATTTTTACATAATATAATGGAGACTAAATTTATTTTTGTGTAAGACCAATATGCAATACATATCTACAAATAAAATAGTTTGTTTATTTTTTGTCCTTTGAAAAGACAATTCTTTCTTCTGGTCATTAATTCTTTCGTGGTTCAGATTAAAATTATTTGTGTATTTTCAGAGTACATTATTTAATGACCGAGCTTTGCCGGCATTTTTTTTTAATAAATTGTGTTTTTTAGAAATTATATTTAAATACGAATTACATATTGATAAAATTATGAAATATGAATAATATTTTTCGATCTTACTGACAGCATAATAAAAAATATGAACTGTTACCGACAGCATAATAAAAAATATGAACTGGTTAATTAAAGAAAAAAATCAAAATTATCGATAAAGTTGATTATTGAAAACACGAATATAACAACATTAACTGAAAATAAATTGTAGCTAGATCGATTGATCGCCCCCGAAATCCCCTGTATACTTTATGAAAATCATTGTAGCCGTTTCCGAGATTCAGATTATATATATAGAAACAAGAATTGCTCGTTTAAAGTTAAAAGATTGTCTATATGTGAGTGCGATTCACTCGTAGATTCTCATAGTGCAGAGAATTCTCATATGATTTTTCATTTTATTTTTATTGCATTGATGGGTGGACAAGCTTACGGCACACCTGATGTTAAATGGTTACCGGAGCCTATAGACACCTACAACGTAAATGCCGCCACCCAACTTGAGATATGAGTTCTAAGGTCCAAATAACTGTTATTTTATTTGTATGTGTGTGTGTGACTGTGTAATTGGGAACTCCGAGGATTATTTGAGCCTGTCGTAATTCCAGTCACGCATATTGTATTTTATAGTCAAATTATAAAAATGAAGTAACTATGAATTAGTCAGGTACTCCTATTATATGATGTAGGTACATATCAAGTAACTATTGAAAACACAACGGTTTGATTTTCAAACTTTTCAACATGGGTGTACCGGACAGTCTCGTGCTCATTATACGGAACTTCTTGTCGAACAGCTCTTTTCGATATCGAGTAGAGGGAACCCGCTCCTCCCCGCGACCACTCACGGCTGGGGTCCCGCAAAGCTCCGTTCTCTCTCCGCTCCTATTTAGTTTATTTATTAACGATATTCCCCGGTCGCCGCCTACCCAGCTAGCCTTATTCGCTGACGACACAACCATTTACTACTCAAGTAGAAACAAGTCCCTAATCGCGAGTAAACTCCAGAGCACAGCGTTAACCCTCGGACAGTGATTCCAAAAATGGTGCATAGACATCAACCCAGCGAAAAGCACAGCAGTGTTATTTTAAAGGGGAAACTCACCGCTTATTTCCTCCCGCATTAGGAGGAAAAATATCACTCCGATCACTCTCTTCGGCCAGGAAAGTCAAATACCTGGGAGTCACCCTGAATGCATCCATGACATTCCGCCCGCATATAAAAACGCCGAAGTGATGACCACGACCACTCTGCCAAGAGTGCATACGACTGAGAATAAAAACAGTTCGCGACCGTGACGCATTTATTGTCGGCAGACTCTATCCCATGATCTGTAAGCGGAGTAAAATGTCCCTTCGGAACAAGGTGACACTACAAAACTTGCATAAGGCCCGTCGTGATTTACGCGAGTGTGATGTTCGCTCACGCGGCTCGCACACGCATAGAAACCCTCCGATCCCTACAACCTCGCTTTTCAAGGTTAGCCGTCGGGGCTCCGTCCGTGGTTCGTGAGGAACGTTGACCTACACGACGACCTGGGCCTCGAATCAATCCAGAAATACATGAAGTCTGCGTCGGAACGGTACTTCGATAAGGCTATGCGTCATGATAATCACCTTATCTTTGCCGCCGCTGACTACTCCCCGAACCCTGATCATGCAGGAGCCAGTCACCGTCGACGCCCTAGACACGTCCTTACGGATCCATCAGATCCAATAACCTTTGCATTAGACGCCTTCAGCTCTAACACTAGGAACAGGCTTAGGGACCCCGGTAACCGTACTCGTCGAACTCGACAAAGAGGTCTACGTGCAACCTAACCCATGCATCAGCCCGCCGAGTTTCTCGCCGGATCTTCTCAGCGGGTCGCGATTCCGATCCGGTAGTAGATTCATTCGCGAAGCAATTGCTCTTGAGTTGTTAGGTCTCCTTCGGACGCGCTCGGGTAGCTGTTAGCAAACCCCACCCCTCCTGGCTGAGCCTTTGCTCGCCCACCTGTCCTGGTGAAACTGGAAAGGCCTTTAAGTAAGGTCTGGAAGTAATCTTTCAATCTGTTACATTTTACCATTTACGATAATTTTTATATTAATAATTAAAAAAAATGGATTTTTCAAAACAAACTTTAATTTGAAAAAATAATAACAATCTTAGTAATAATTAGAACAGAAGTTTTTCTAGAGATCATTCTTACTATATACCACTAAGCTGTAGATCAAATATTTTTATGCAGATCTATTACATAGCCTTTTTTCAAATAAGTTTTGAGGAGACCTTAGCAATAAGCAATGGCATGCTATTTACCTCAGATATTGACAATGTCCCTTGGTATTGATGAATAATCACTATGCACCTTCAGCTTTTTGATGTATATTTTTTACATTATCCTTTTTCAGAAATCAGAAAAGAATGTAATATTGTCACTATAACTTATGAAATTGTATAGAATTATGAATAAATACTAGTTTTTTTAATTAAGGCAAACATACTAAAAATATATAATTTACAAGCGACCAATTTACATGTCAGCAGACATTTGCTAATATTATAATTTACATAAATCTGATGACTGATTTTCATATTATCAACTATTCACCTATTTACCCAGTATAAGTATTTTAACTCTTAATCAAGTTTTGTTATCTTCAAATGGTTTCAAAATTAATGGTCTTTCATTAACCTCATTAGAAATATCATTTGATATACTTAGTGAAGTAAAATTAAAAGATAAATCATTACTGGACATGCCAAGATTCAAATATTTTGCCCTTTCTTTTTCTAAATAATTAACTTTTTCTTTCAAAGTAGCATTTTCATCTTTTAGTACTTCAACTTGTAAAACAAGTTGTTCCACAAGTGAGTGTAGGTTTTGACTTAGTATTGTCAACTCTTCTACTGCAGTTGCTTGAGTTTTTTCTGTTCGTTTCCCATCAACAACATCCTTAGTCAATATTTCTTCTGAAGTTCCAGTTTCAGAAGTCTCATCAGTTGTTCTCAAAATATGAAGTAAGGAGTCAGTTTCATTGATTGCTCTGTAAATTGCTATTTGAAGTTGAGCATAGTCATGACCTTGAAGATTAGATATTGGTTCTTTTCCTAACCGCTTAATTGTATCCATGGCTTTTTTAACTCTGACATATTGCTCTTTTTTGTACTTTATTAAATCTTTTTGTTTTAAGTGATAGCTGTGTTGCAGCGTAATAGCCTCTAAAGCCAAAGTAGAGGTCGTTAACTTCATTGCATCAACAAGAAGTTCCGCAGCACTTTGATGACATTGCATTGCTTCATCATATCTGTGATTCTTCAAGTGAGCTTCAGCACGACGATGTTGCTGATGTGCCTGAATATTTGCGAATAAACAGATTTTGAAATTAGGACTAATTTATTTTCAACATTCAACGACTACCAAAAAACTCACCAAGTTTAGTGGATGAGATTCCATTTTGGTGCCATCCGTTTACTTTTAATGATTGGAATCAAAAGGAGCTTCCTTCACTTGCATTTATATGAATTTATATGAAAGAAATAAATAATGTAAACGACAACAAATCCAGTTTTTACTTCTTTCTTCGAAGCTCCATATTTACATTTCCAATAAACTGGCATAGACTACAAAGGTCATAGATACACTGTTTTCTTTTTTTAAAGATATTTTATGACCTGGTAACTAAGACCTCTAAGTCATGTCTTATTTTAATTTAAATTCGTATTTTTATGCAAAATGATAATTTGGAGTAAAATGAAATGAAACGAAGATGATTAATTTCAGACATTAATCAACTGGGATGAAATTAAATGAAAAGAGATGTTATGGGATGAAATATAATCTCAGTAAAATGGTCATTCACTGAGATTTTTTCAGTGGACTTTTTGGAGGATATCAAGAAGCTACATTCAGCGGCTTTGTTTCATTTTGTGCACTATCACAGATATTAAACAGTTAATAAACCACCGTTATTACATATTATTATTAACCTGAAGAAACACTAAATAGACAAAATAAAACAAATCACACAACTTCCTTCCTTGCGTTCCCGCCAAAAAGTCATACACTGTATTCTGTATGAAACAGTAAAAAATAAACGTCACCTTATGGTTTTCGATTGGCTCAGATTGGCAACAGATTGACTTAACCACAACTGTCAAGCGTCAGATCATATTTTGTCAGTTAGGCAATCATAGATTATACACTTAATATAGGCAATGACCAATTACGGTACGGTAGGTACTGTTGTTGGGGTAAAATGGTGAAGCGAGGCGTAGGAGAGATGAACTAGCAACCAACGTAATGAAATGTAAAATTATAGGAAATTACAGATATTTCAATACACTTATCGCAATAACCCAAGAAGTTACTTTCAACGATCTGGTATTTTAATATTTAAACAAAAATCTGCATCGTTAGCATATTACATTAAAATTCCTCTTATATCTTTGCATCTAGTCTCATATACCTAACATACAAATGTTTAATGCAAACAAATATTTAACGCATAATTATACAGTTACCAAATAATGAAGTTAAAATGAGGGAAAATCAATATCATAAACGAGTTATTAGTTGTAGCATAAAGTCATCGTGGCCTAAAGGATGGTGCATTCGTATCTAGCGATGCACCGATGTTCGAATCCCGCAGACGGGTACTAATTTCTCTAATGAAATACGTACTTAACAAATGTTAACGATTGACTTCCACGGTGAAGGACTAGCATCGTGTAATAAAAATCAAACCCGCAAAGTATAATTTGCGTAATTACCGGTGGTAGGACCTCTTGTGACATATTTCGGCCGTGAAACAGTAATGCGTTTCGGCTTAAAGGGTGGGGCATCCGTTGTAACTATACTGAGACCTTAGAACTTATACTCAAGGTGGGTGGCGCATTTACATTATATATGTAACCACTTAACATCAGGTGGGCTGTGAACTCGTCCAACTATGTAGGTAATAAAAAAAAGTAGTGAGATTTCTCTCTAAAAGCGTACCTGAACCCTGTTTCTAAAATGGCTCATAAAATCACTTCAACAACAAAACCGTAATACATAATAACTTACTTATTTTGTAAACAATGTTTTAAGCGATAACATTGTAATAGATTGTCAACAAAAGCTTGCAATAAGCAAAGTTACATTCGACATTACATTAAACGTTTCCTTTGAATTACCTGAATAATAATTTAATTGTAATTATTGTTAGAAATGTTCAGTATTATTTTATTTTTAATTGTTTTAGATGATGCCCATAGTGTCATTTCTCAATGCACAATGACTGAAGTGAAAAGTTTACTCGAAGGCTGTGACAGATTGACAGGATTAAACATTACTAGTGTTGGGGGTACAATTGTAAATGATCATAACTGTGATGTTTTGCTACCTGCGCAGGTATTTTTGGATGAACCATTATTTCAGTACTTCATGGCTGATTCGGTAAACATTATATACATACATTTTTCCAAATAACTATCAACTTGAACTATATTTATTCTAACAGAGTTTATATTCCAGAAAAAGTTTTACACGATTATACTGGTGGATCCCGATTCGCCGCCACAAGTAGACGGTGAATTTTATTTGCATATGCTAAAATCGAATATTCCTGTAAGTTTAATTTTTTTAAGCTTGTTATTATATAGATTGTAAGTATGCGGTTGTATAATATTAGGTATGATTGATATACTTTAAATTAAAATGAATATTATAGATTGATATTCCTTTTTTTTCCTACCTATTCTGGTAACCTCGAGGGGTTATTCTAGATTCACTGAATTAGTAGGTGAGCTCAAGGGGCTCAAACCTGACGACGTTGCTAAAACGAACCCTAGCAAGAGAAGTCCTTCGCAGAATCTACCACCGGATCGACGATCGATGGGTTCGACAAGCGAATTAACCCACAGACACAGGCCCACTGAGTTTCTCGCCGGATCTTCTCAGTGGGTCGCGTTTCCGATCCGGTGGTAGATTCTGCGAAGGACTGCTCTTGCTAAGGTCAGTGCTAGCAACATCGTTAGGTTTGAGCCCCGTGAGCTCAACTACTATTGAAGGTTACACTGATATGGTCTCTCTAGACCATCAGCTTAGGTAAGAAAAAACAAGGTGAGCTCACGGGGCTCTAACCTGAGACGTTGCTAGCACTAGCCCTAGCAAGAGCAGTGCTTCGCAGATGGGTTATCGTTGTTTCTATAGCGCAACGTAACTCCGATCATATAGACCTATCAAAACTCATTCAATTGTCCAAGTTCTTCATGTACCACGGAGCTCCTACGGCTATCCTACAAAAACGGGATTGTTTGATTTGAATGATATTTCTCATTTTAGGGTCTCGCATTGAAAACAAAGGAAAGTAGCAAAACTATTGGAATCGATTACAGAGGTAATTATTGAGGATTGTAAACTTTAAAAATTTAATTTAATTTTAACTTTAAACTACGAGATGGACCGACGACCTGGTAAGAACCGCTGGGTCACGTTGGATACAGGTGGCAACGGACCGGCCGCACTGGAGATCACTTGGAGAGGCCTATGTTCAGCAGTGGACAGTGGACAGGCTGAGATGATGATGATGATGGTGATGATGATGATGTAAATTTTAGAGCATCATCGAAAAGTTTTGACGCAAAAATGGATTATTTATTTTGAATAAGTACCAAGTCTGAATATAGTTCTCAATCAACAAGGCGTTGTGAGGCGGCAAACGTTGTTTTGCCATATAGGTAAATTATTTCTAGGAAAGATAAATAACCTAGGTACCGACTGCAGCGCCATCTGCCGGGCTGATTTGTAAATCTAAGCCATTCTCGAATCCACCAGAAGGTACACAGAAAATTTCATTAAAATCGGTCCAGCCGTTAGGAGCTCAGTGACAAACACACGCACAGAAGAAATATATATTATTATATTAAAATGTTAAATAAAAATACACTTTTATTTAACATTTTCGCAGGATACAAGCCGCCTACTCCATCTCGCGGCATAGATACGCACCGCTACATTACTCTCCTTTATGAGCAAGCAGACGGAAATAATTTTCTACCGACTGTACCGAGCTCACGAAATCGTTTTTCGTTAGCTAAGTGGCTTTTGGGAAAGAACCTTTGCGGCCCGGTCGCTGGAACTCAATTTCGATTGCAATTCTAGATGGCGCTAGTTGTACGAAGTTTCAATAAGGATTGTAGAAATATTAATAATTTAATTACACGTAGTACCTATCTGTAAGATCTTTTATTTTATTTAATAATTTTAACCCTAATTTTATAACCAACCTTCATTTAATTCACGAAAATTTAATAACATATAGATCCAGGTCAAGGTTTTACCCCCTTTGGAGGTTAATATTTAATAGCCCAGTAGACCGTGGAAGAACCCGACATTTTGCTTAATTTTCCCACATTTGGGCACTTTCACAAAATAAAAAAATTCACATAGAGGCTCTCCTCGCGTTCCCAACAGAATACCGAAATCTGTTTTTAAACTGAAAAGGAAAACATTAAGAAATCATCAATCAATAGATCATCTTCAATTCTTCCCGAATCAACTGCACTACCGCTGCTTTCCGTTTTCTATAGCGATTCTCTTACCTTCAATAGACGAAAAATATACCTACATACAAAAAAACTCGTCCAGCTAAGTGGCGCCAACAATATTTCCCGAGTACATGTCCTTCTTCAAAAAAGGCTCAAAAGTACTTCTTGAAATTAGCCAACGCCTCAGGTATAGCTCAGACATTGCTAACGTCTATAAGCAGTACCCACAAACTATCTGATGGGCTGTCGCATCGCAGTAGTACGGCGGTAACGAAATTCGTCTTACATTAGGTACTTAAATTGTAGGTACGTGGATAAAAAAAAAAATTACACAGTTACGAATTGTCGTTGAAATTGTTTTATTAAAAATACAGTGTAACCGTACTTTAAAGTTGGAAGTAACAAGCTTAGAAAAATATTTTCTAAGCTTGTTACTGAAAAATAGGTGGGTGGTGCTCTATTGTAGACTGTAATATGAAAATGAAAATGTTATTTCTGTTGAATCGGTGTCTATTGGAATAAAATTCAAAGCCATAAATTTGTCAGGAAGTTCAAACGTTTATAGCTGCATAAAATTAAGAACTAATAATAGTGTATACCTAAAACCACTGAAGTCACTAGCTGAGCCCCAAACTAGTTCTAAATATTATACAGATTCACATCTAATATTCGATTTAAGGTATTTTATAAAAAAAATCTTGTTTTAATAATGACAAAAATCATCCATCTCGCTTGCTAAAGCTAATTTCTTTGTTCCAAGCTTCGAAACGACTTGAAAAATTATGACGGCACGAGTACCGCGTAGGCTGCGCACGCGACTCCCTTCGCCTGCCTACGCCGTGAAATTGCCACGGCTAATTTATTTAAACAAATTATTTTTCCACACAAACACGTGAGTGATTTATGATTTACGGATGATACAGGCTTTTATAGGTTTTTTGATCAACACGGTAGGCTAGTTTGTGGAAAAGAATTGTAATGTATTAATTATCAGCTGTACTTACTAGATTATAAATTATAAGATTATATAATGAGCACCACAAACAAAATACCTAGCCAAGTAAACTAACCAAAACAAAGTAAAGGTACTTAATAAAAAATAAGACTCCTCCTTTAAACCATTTTTTACAAGGCATCTTGTACCTACAGATATGTTTTGTAATACAAAGAATGATTAATTTTAAATTTTAAAATACTAGATGTAATAGAAATACAAAAATATATTACGTTCATATAAATGTTTTTATAAAATTTGGTGACATGGTATTTTAAAAATATTTAGTTCTGTTCCACGTTAAGTATTTTTTGTTAAAAACCGAACCGAACACTAGATTCTATAAAAACCGTGGCTTCACAACTCTTATTAGTGCATAGCGTAATTAGCATACTTATTAGTGCAACAACTCTCTCCATATCACTCTAGTGCCAGCTTAAATGCGATACACAGCACTATCAAGGATCATTGAAGTTAAAATAATAGTGATTCAAACTTCAATGCATTTTAGGTTATGCGAAATGGATTTCTTTATAACGGGAACGAGCAACTACCGTTTTTCAAATATAGGCACTCCCTGACATTTGATAAATAATAAGTTAGTTTTTAAGAAAATTTAGTTTTAAACAATATTAATTAATGCAAAGGTTTTAAAATCTGATTTTATATTTTTCTTAAGAGCTGTCTAATTACAAAACCAATAAAGGATCTGATATTCATAAATCGCGATCTACGCGACAAAACTATAGGTATACCTAACTACAACAAAAATATAGCGGAAGAGAAAAAACTTATAGAATTTCGGAAAGAATAATTTTCTTTACATAAATTCTTAGTACAAAAGTATTAATTAGTACATGTATTTCCAAAAAAACTGTGTCATAGTACATGTTCCAATTTTCAGTGATTTTTCACATTAAATTGATAAACTAATGGCCTAAGATCTGAACGATTAATTTTGAAATTTATTAGTGGATTCGAATTAAATCAATCTTCTTCTTGTCCTTATCCCACATTATATGGGGTCAGCGCACCACATCCTCTTATCGTGCTGCATGGGTATTTGGCATGAGTTTTACGACCGGTCGACTATCTGACGTCAACCTCTTCGGGTTGATCAACAGTATATTTATTGCATATCGTGGCATAGGATGAACTTTTCTTATTTCTTCGTTTAGGTTTTCCTTTACTTCATCCGTTTTTGATTTTTAAATTTATCTATATATCTATGATTTGAGTTTATCCGATATTATAAACGTTTATAACAAAATTTAGATTTTGAATTAATAAGAGTAAAAATATTGTATTTTATTCGTTAAAATTACATCATTATGAAAATGCGGAACTAATTCGAATTAACTGAATATAAACTTCTAAATTAATATACCACCTCCCAATATCTAATATGAAACGCGTGTTTCCATATAAGTGATTATAGATTTCCTTCACCCATACATGTCTACGAAAATTATGATGCTCACAGTATCTACGTGAACGTTAATTAAACTTAAGTTGAAGAAATACTGAAGACAGTGAGATCTCTTACGACTCTATTCTAAAATTCCTTCACTCACCAATTACCGGTTAGACATTTCGTTAACTTCCAAGAGACAGTCGGAAGGTTCGTATTATCGTTAAAAAGTAGATTGAGCATTTAAACGAGCATATAAACGTAAAAGCTATCACAATTCAACTGTCACAGTTATGAAATCCAATTATATTTGAACGGTAGTTTTGACCATGCATCGTAGAACGCTATCCATGGAGGTGTCAACGACTTATCGATCTAATTAACAAATCTGTTGAAAGGTACAATATTAATTTTTTTTTTCGTTTTCTTTTTATAACAAGAAGTGTTGTATAATGACGTCCACTCGTTGAAATCTGTGACGGTTAGTTTATGAGAAAAATTAATTAAATGTAACTCAATAAATGTGTACTCTGTGACTGTGAAATTTAGATTTTGTTGTAGGTAAAAAATACTGGTGGGAGGGTGTATTAGTTGCGTGCACAGTTGGATACAGCCAACCCAGCTATTTAGTGATAATGTTGAGTGGTTTCCGTATTCCGCAGATATTACAACATAAAGCTTCCCTAGACAGGACGGTTATCCCACCCAACTAACCGAAACGCATAACGCATCAAAATCAGAGATGATGGTGATACCCCGCGGTAGAATCTGTTCACAACTAGAATATCAGTATTTTTTGGACAGGAAGCGTGTCTATCGTAAATTAATAGACGTATCTTTCGAGAAACACAAAATTACAAGAACCGGTTTGGCGTGTGCTGTGCCCAATGCGGCTTTCTCATGTCAATGTTGCTACAACAAAATTAATTTATGTGATCATTAGAAATCATTCAAGAAAAAATATTTCAAATATTTACTAAGTGCTTCCATAATAAGTGCATTTTTTTTAATTCGAAATAAAATTTGGCCTCTGCTGAAACTGTTCGGATATAATCAACAATTACAAAGAAATAAAGTACCTTCGCGGTATAAATTGGACTATTCTTTCAATTGTAAAACGGGCTTTAAGCTGTTAGCGTTCATTCGTTTCATTTCACTGTCTAACTTTTAAAAAAATTTATAGTAAAATAAAATTTATAAGTTGGCAGCCCCGCCCTAAAGCAATACTGGAATCAACACCGGAAATGCCTGAGAGACGCCGCCATCACAAAGATCATTGCGACTATTCTTTCCTTATTTGGTTTTTTGATACTATCATTATTAAAGTTAAAATCTAACAGAATTGGATAATGAAACTGTAAAGCTAAACGGAACACCAAAAACTTGGACCTAGATGTTTTGGTACCATCATTGGCATCTTATGGCTCAGTTGCTTACAAAAACATGAATCATTAAAAACGTAACTAATCTATTACTTTTCTAGAAATTAAATCATGCGTTAACTGACCTAGGAACTATACTATGCCCAGCTTACTCTGAATGTTGTTTGAAAAATGGTAATGTTTAAGAGACTACTTTAAAAAAAATAGATATGCACACGCCGTAGAATTAATTCCTTCAGAACTAGTCCATCTCATTCTCTCACAGGCTAAATGCCATAGATGTATGTATATGTTTATTACTTGTAGTGTTTCTCACCGGATCTTTTCAGTGGGTCGCGATTTCGATCCGGTGGTATATTCTGCGTAGCACTGCTCTTGCTAAGGCCAGTGTTAGTATATCCTTTTTTATGATAGAAGTTTATGATACTAGTGGCCCGGAGGCCTTTCCAGTTTCACCAGGATTGGTGGGCGAGCAAGGCTCAGCCAGGAGGGAGTATATTCTCTCAGGATGAGCTCCGTGGGCCAACCTACCATTCACTGTTCAGCTGGAATAGCTCCTTAGGCTACCAACGAATAGGTAGGAAAAAAAGGAATGTTATTTCCGTTTTATTGAATTTCAAACAATAGCGGCGCTAAAGAAATGTTCACTTCAAAAGACTACCCACTGTAGATCGTCAACAATTCATTCAGTGCAACTACGTTCAAGGCAAATCGAGCTTACGTTCATTAATAAAATGCGTGGTAAAATGATGGCTGGCCCTTGGCACGATCAAGTTTGATTCGGGCACGTGTCGCACAAGTTAATGGCGCACCGATGTTGTGAAAAG